TAGAATATGGAAAAGGTAAAAGTTGATTATAATTCCTAGAAATGATTAAATAACTTGGTTGTTCTTTTTTTTAAAGATTTTTTATTTATTTGACAGAAAGAGAGACAGTGAGATAGGGAACACAAGCAGGGGGAGTGGGAGAGGAAGAAGTAGGCTTCCTGCTGAGCAGGGAATCTGATGCGGGACTCGATTCCAGGACGCTGGGATCATGACCTGAGCCGAAGGCAGACACTTAACAATGAGCCACCCAGGCGCCCCTAACTTGGTTGTTCTAAAGGAACTTTTGGCAGAAATTTAAATGGCATTCTTTTTAATTTTAAACTTTTTTGGGGGGTGGGACCTGGGTGGCACTGTTGGTTAATTGTCTGACTCTTGATTTCAGCTCAGGTTGTGATCTCAGGGCTCACGAGATCAAGCCTTGCACTGGGCTCCACTCTCAGCGTGGAGTCGGCTTCAGACTCTCTCTCCCTCTCTCTCTGCTCCTCTCCCCTGTGCTCTCTTTATCTAAAATATATAAATCTTAAAAAAAATTTTTTTTTCATCAAACTTGGTATTTTCAGTGAATGGAGGTTAGTCTTGTGGTGGTAATATATAGTATGCCTCTGTATTACACTTTTAACTAATCAAACTATACTATTACATCAATTTGTCCAATAATTCATCTATAGAAATAAATAATATATGCAATAAATCAGTGAATTACCACTATATGTAAAAAAAAATCCTGCATGTATAGTTTATAATATAAAAATAAGAAAATAATTTTGTAATTTTAAAGTGCAACACTTCCAAAAGTTATAGAAACTTTTAAACAAAATTACTGTTATAAAGAAAAACTTACTAATATAGCTTCAAATAAAAACAAATAATTAAATAATTCTTCACATAAATACATCTACAATTTTCTTTATTTTTTACAATGAAGGTATATTGCATGTGCAATAAAAATAAAAGTTTATGACTAACTTAGAATTTTATGTCTATTTCAAATACCACATAAAACCACAGAAATAATGTAGGAACAAACATAATACATGAAGAAATAATTGCTCAATAGTTCTCTTTAAAAAGGCACGTTCTGCATGGAACACTGGGTGTTATACGCAAACAATGAATCATGGAACACTACATCAAAAACTAATGATGTAACGTATGGTGATTAACATAACAATAAAAAAATTAAAAAATAGTAATTATACACAACACACAAAGCTTTATATTATCACAGCAGCTTTGAATATGCTAGATACTTAAATCTATATAGTATTTAAAGTAGACAAAAACTATGCTACAAACAAAATCTAAAACAACTTGTCTATTACATAAGAGCACATATAGGAAACATTTACAAGGTGTGGATTAATTTCATGTAAGGTTTCTTAAGATCTGCTTTTCCTGTATCATTTCTTTTGAGATCAACCTTCATATCATGCCTATATAGATACACAATTACAACATCTAATTGAACAGTGATGAGTGCAGGCATTAAAATAATAAAATGAGGCAGTATTATTTTGTGTTGAAACAAATATATTAGTAAATATTGTACAAAATAGTGGTTACTGGTTGACTGACTCCAAATTCAATTATTTTTAAAGATTTTATTTATTTGACAGAGAGAGAGATAGCGAGAACAGGAACACAAGCAGGGGGAGTGGGAGAGGGAGAAGCAGGCTTCCGGTGGAGCAAGGAGCCCGATGCGGGGCTTGAACCCAGCACCCTGGGATCACGACCTGAGCCGAAGGCAGATGATTAACAACTGAGCCCCCAGGTGCCCCCAAACAGATATATTTCTAATGAATACTCTATCATTTTTCAGAACATCTGAGTCAAAATAATTATAGAAAATATTTGATTCCCTGTTGAAAACATGAAATTTCTCATAAATCTTCTTATATATTACAGCCTATTACAACCATTTCACTTCTTCACTTTCATTTTCTATTTAAGTGAATGATGAGCTAAATGTAAATATCACCCCAAAGTCTCCTTTTGAAAATGTACTTTACACTTTGTTTAAAATCAATTGGAACAGTTTTGCCCTCTGCTAACAATAATATTTTATTTCATTGTCAGAATTTCCAATGAATTTTTGTTGTGTTGGTTGACACTTTTCCCCATTTTGTGTGATGTTTCTTTAAAAAGAACACACCTCCAATATTGAAAGTTTTTTTTAAAGATTTTATTTATTTATTCATAAGAGACAGAGAGAGAGAGAGAGGCAGAGGGAGAAGCAGGCTCCCCGCTGAGCAGGGAGCCCAATGTGGGACTCAATCCCAGGAGTCTGGGATCATGACCTGAGCAGAAGGCAGATGCTTAACCATCTGAGCCACCCTGGCGCCCGAAAGTTTTAAATACATATATTATTCTTCAGTGCTCACTTATCTTAGCATTCTGCGACATCAGTAAATATAAGATGCCTCTCCTGGCATTAATCAGAAATTGAAGAATATATAGAAAGGATGAAGAATATGCAAATGTAGCACAAAATATAAGAACCAAATTATTTCTAATATTATATTAATTTGCCTAAGTTCACCAATTCATGTCCAGCAGATATTTAGTAATTAAGTAATGTGAACCAATGACAGAAAATATATAATTTATCTATTTTTTTAAGATGTGAAAAAATAAAATAAGTCATCTGAAAACTGATTGTAGGATGGTCCTTTTAGCTAATAAAAACCTAGTGATAACAAAGAAGTTATTCTAATTAGCATTTACTTTTCATATTTTGCCTATCTCATGAAGTTATTTGTCCTGTGTTTAGGAAAAGATCTCTTAGCTAAATAAAAGAAAATGTCATTGTGGAAAAAGTTGTTAATTTATTTTACTTTTTAAGAATTACAAAATATCAAAAAATACAAATAAAAAGAGGATATTTGGAAAATATTTCATTTTTTCTTCATTTATGCCTTGCTTACTGTACATTTATATTCTCAAGTATAATAAATCTAACCCATAAAACATCTCCATGCCTTCAAAAACCGTTGAAACCAGAATTTACTCTTTTAACAAACTTCATGAGCCAATCTAGCACAATGATAATCTGCTAATGTAATTCGCAAACCATCCCCGCTTTGTATACATTTTTAAGTGAGCCACAAATTTAGTCCAGGGGAAAGTGTTATTAAGATACACAACACACAGGCGCCTGGGTGGCTCAGTCGTTAAGCGTCTGCCTTCGGCTCAGGTCATGATCCCAGGGTCCTGGGATCGAGTCCCACATCGGGCTCCCTGCTCCACGGGAAGCCTGCTTCTCCCTCTCCCACTCCCCCGCTTGTGCTCCTGCTCTCGCTATCTCTCTCTCTGTCAAATAAATAAAATCTTTAAAAAAAAAAAAAAGATACACAACACACACACACACACAAGATACACAACACATAGAAATTGTTGTTCATAAAAAATAATTTCCTATTGAGAAATGTTTATAATAAAATAATAGCAGTAAAAATTAGAAAATGATAGCACCTTTATAAATGATTACATATAAACAAAAACAAACCTTGAGGAGATGTTAGGCATCTCACACCTTGTACCTTGTAAACTCATTCAAAGCATAACAGAACTCTCTATACAAAGAATAGGGTTCTATTTTACTGTCTGCAATAGCATAATTATGGACCTATTGTAACAAAAATGCACCCACAACTGGAGTGATATCTTACTTTCACTGTGTGATTAAGAATGGATAATGTTATTGTATAATTTAAATATGCATATTCTTGAATGACCTCGATCTTAAAACCATTTCCTAAATTATGGTAAATTATTATCTTCATTGTTATTTTGAATTCTGATAGATTTCTGTAGTATTTCTAACTTTGGTGAGAAGATACCCAGTTTGATTTCAACATTACAACCATTTTATTAAGCCTGAATAAGTTTTCAAAAAACTTTATTCACTGAAACAGAGATGAAGATCTTTTTTAAAAGTAACACAGACAAAACAATAAAATCAACATGTGATATAATTTCAAGAGAAAAGATGTAGATAAATTCTATTGCTTGACTTTATTAAAGAAGTAACCATCCTTAAATCACTTAATTTACTTATGAATTTCTAGATAAATTTGTAATCATTTCTCCACAGAATATAGATAAAAATCACTGTATAAGCTCTTGTTTTCATAAGTTTATTGGGTTTTAAATTATTATACATAGATTTCTTAGGTCTTAATATGCCCATACTTTCCTTCAGGCCCATTAAAGAAAGCAAACATATTTTCTTATCCAAAAGTCATTATCTTTTAAGAATGTCTCCTGGAGGGCTTTCAATACCTTGGACAAATATGCAAATACTTAAATCAATGTCCAAAATAGAGATCTCATATATATTTCATGTTTTGGCTTGAAGATAAGAATGAGCAGCATGTCTTTATTTTTCTAATCCTATTCTTGTTACATTGTGTAAATAAAGATTTTATGAAACAGAATAAAGGTGGGTTCCTAATCTAAAAATAACATTCTCTTTTCATTGTGGCAGTTTGGGAGCATATGGGTAGGGAGGATATATTGATGCTATTTTATTTTCCTGAGTAGACACAGTTTTTCCCAAGTGAAGCTGGGATTCTCAACTCCATTAAACACCAAGGCCTTCTTACCAGATTCTAAAAAGCTTTACTGTGATGTATCTAGCCCTGACTGTTTTGATCCTCATGCACATAATGATACTGAGGACAGAAGCCAGGACCTTTATTCTAAGGTCTTTCAAGTATATTCTCTAGCAAGATGTGTCATACTTCCATCTGCAGACAACACTGCCCCTGTTATAGTCATCATTCGGAACCAAATTTTCCTACCATCAGGAGTCATTTTACCATGATTTTCTATCAAACTTAAAATGAAACCATGTATTTATTTTGATACTTCTGCAGAATATAGTCATTTTGATTGTTGGAGTCAATACAATAGATTCTGTAAAGTTCTACTTCAACTGAAAATAATTTTAAAAAATAAAATAAAGTTAGAAAGGTTAGTTAGAAACTTGGATTACCTACCGGTCTAGTGTGTACAGACACAGGAGTTTTGAAAGTTGTCACTGAATAGCTGCACTCAGAAACATTGTAAGGATCAGAACTGCTGGAGGAACACTTAGAGATGGAATCACAGGCCACAAAGGTGTTATCAAGTGGCAGTTCCTGGATGATGTGGTGCTTTGAATTCAGGGGAGTTTCAGGCTGGATATGGAAGGCAGGCTGTGGAGAGGCAGATTTGTAGTGCCTGGCTAAATCAGGGCTGTCAGGCTTGAATGTAGTAGGTATAGTGCCCCAGTTGTACTTGCCCATGGTTTGTTCTTCCAGTTCAATGGGAAGGTCTAGTGTGACACTGTTTCCATCATTGTCAACATCATCTGCCTTAGTTTCTTCAATAGTGACAAAGTTAAGCAGCAAGTTCTTAGGGGCATGCTTCTTCTTCCTCTTCTTCTTCTTTTTCTTCTTCTTCATCATCATCATCATCATTATCATCTGCCTGTTTTCTGGGTTTGGAGTAGCCCATTCAGAATTCTGCTTGTTTTTCTGAGCAGCCATAATGTGTGGCAATTGATGGCATCTTGATACAGCAGTAATGAAGATAACAAGGATGACAGTTATGGTGCCAGCAATAATAGCAACCATGATCTTGATATAGTCACTGGTGGGTGAGAATGCATCAGTTGTCTCAATATTTGGGGTCACTGGTGTTTCAATGTTTTTGTGCACCAGTTCATGAATCCATGTAGCATTGGTCACTGACTCATTCACAAATAGATTAACAATAACAACATTGAAGAGAGATTCAGGTTGTCCTAAGTCCTTAGCTTTAACTATCAATCTGTGTAAACCAAGGTCTGTAATGACACATTTCTCCGTTAGTGTGATGTTGCCTGTTGTTTGGTCAATTATAAACAAACTTCTTGTGTTTCCTCCTACAATGCTGTAATGAAGCTCTGCATTCATGCCAGTGTCATTGTCAACAGCAAGTACCGTGAAGACCACTGTGCCTGGATTAGTGGATGGTAGAACCAATTCATAGGAGTTATTGGAAGAAGGGACAATGAAAACTGGTTTGTTGTCATTGACATCAACCACATTTATCGTCACTTTGGCAGTTGAAGAATGTGATACCTTACCACCATCCTCAGCCTTTACATAGAAAGTATAAGATTCTTGTTTTTCTCTGTCAAATGAAATATTTGGTTGGATAACACCAGTCTGTGGATCAATGGTGAAGTCATCATTCACATTTAAAATGGAGAGAGTGACTGCAGAGTTTTCTCCATAATCCGGATCAGTTACAGTGATCAGTCCTACTGTGCCATGTCTTGGAAGGTTTTCTGGAACATAGAAGTTGTACTCACTGTGAGTAAAAATTGGACTGTTGTCATTCTGATCAAGAATGGTCACTAAAACTGTGGCATTGGTTATTAAGGATGGCATCCCATTATCTTTTGCCAGAACTGTGAAGGAATATTTTTCCCGTTTTTCTCTATCCAGTTTCTTCACTGCAGTCAGAATGCCTGTATGACTATCTAGGTTAAATTCAGATGGAGCATCAACACCTAGCAGATAATTGATCTCAGCACTGTGCCCACTGTCCGCATCCGTTGCACTTATTTTTGTCAACTTGGTGCCAGGAGAGTTATTCTCAGGAAGAGAAAGACTTATGAAAGGCTGGGTGAAAACAGGAGCATTGTCATTTTCATCTTTCACTTTGACAAGGAGCATGGATGATTGATTCAAAGGAGGTTTGCCAGCATCTGCAGCTAGTAATTTAATGGCATATTCTCTTGTGGACTCATAGTCAAGATATGCAGCAGTCTCCAGGAGGAACTGATTACTGAATACTGGCCTTAATCTGAAAGGGACTTCATGATCTGTGAAGCATGTCACCATGCCATTGTGGTCAGCATCTTTATCTGTCACAGTTATGAGAGCAATTTTGGTGTTGAGGGGAGCATTTTCTGAAAGAACCACAGTGCCATTGATTGGATTAATGATGTATCTTATGTCAATTGATGGGGCATTATCATTGATATCTGTAACATTTACTAGAACCATTGCTCTTGCTGGCATCAATCCACCATCACTTGCCAAAACCAGTAACCTGTGGTTTGGTGATTCCTCCCTATCCAGTGGTTGTTTGACTGTGATAAGTCCAGTGGTGGTGTTGAGGTGAAATAGCCTCTTGGCGATGTTGGAGACTAGATTGCTGAAATAGAAGTGAATCTTGGCATTTTCACCTATGTCGGCATCTGTCGCATGGAGTTGTGTCACTGAAGTACCTACAGGAGCATTTTCTGGTATATTAACTTCAATCCCATCCTCCTTGAAGACTGGGCTGTTGTCATTTGTGTCAGCAACACTTATTTGCAAAATAGCAGTACTGGATCGTTGAGGAAAGCCACCATCTTCAACCTTTACTTTCATTATATATGTATCCTTCTCTTCCCTATCTAACTCCTTTTGAACAATCAGTTGTGGCATCTTGTCCCCTTCTGGTGTTTCAATGACATCAAGTCCAAAAATACTTTGACCCTAGAAAACATACAATGAAACATATTTTAACTTATGTAATGAGACCAGTGTTCAATCTGTTGAAGCCACATGACAGAGGATCAGCTCAGAAATAGGTGTCAAAAGACTTAAGTTCTAAGTCTCGAATCTGTCTGTAACTAGTATTGTGACCACAAACAAATTGCTTAACATCTCCATGAATTTGTAAAATTAGAGAGTTGTGCTTTAAGATGGTCTGAGAGCTTTTCAGTTCATGGCATTTTATGGTAACAAGTGTAACTCACTGATATAAAGTATTAAAGTATACAAAAGGAAAAAGTATAAAGAGTTGTCAGTGTTTCACATGGTGAATTCAGTTATGAGTGAATTAACTGAAGCAAGATGGCAGTAGAGTAGGGTACCTCATTTCATCTGGACCCTTGAATTTAACTAGATAACTATCAAACCATTCTGAACACCCATGAACTCAGCCTAAGATGTAAGAAAAAAATATCTGGAACTCTACAGTTAGAAAATCCACTGCTGGGCGCCTGGGTGGCTCAGTTGGTTAAGCGACTGCCTTTGGCTCAGGTCATGATCCTGGAGTCCCGGGATCGAGTCCCGCATCGGGCTCCCTGCTCGGCAGGGAGTCTGCTTCTCCCTCTGACCCTCCTCCCTCTCATGCTCTCTGTCTCTCATTCTCTCTCAAATAAATAAATTAAAAAAAAAAAATCTAAAAAAAAAAAAAGAAAATCCACTGCTTTTTGCAAGGTAGGAGGTGTGGAGATGTGAATCTTTGGGGAGATATCAAGAGATAAACAGAGGGGGGAGGGAGCCTCCATAAGCTAGCTACCAGAAAGTGATATAGCCTTGGAGGATAAATTCAGAACCCTTAGAAATCTGCTCCAGTGAGAGACATCCCTGTCTGAAGGGGCTCAGGGGATGGAAAGGACAGAATTCTAGGTGGGTCAGTGTGGTCTCAGGATCCTAGAAGTCATAGAACTAACGGGGATGCCTGAGCCAATAGAGTGCCCAAGCAGTGGAGTGGAGAAACTGGTTATGGTCAGCGAGCCCAGGAGGGGACTCCTAGCTCTGGTCACCATAAACTGCAAACTGGGCCATCAAGTGACTGCTTGCTGCCTGGGAACCCTGCAAAGGACTGGACCGTGCAGACCATCTGTCATCCTCCAGGAGGGACAGAACGGGTGTGCCCACAACCAGGCAATAGTTTCAGGGTGGCAGGCTCATAAAGGACAGTATGGCGACACTCAGCCATCCCCCAGGAGAGGTGGAGCAGGTACATGCAATGATCCTGTGACTGCTCTCAGCGTCAGGGCACAACAAAGGGCAGTAACATGGGACCCTCAGATTTCCCCCCAGGAGGATCACTGTGGGCACACACCAAAGGAGTCTTTGGAGTTTAGTACACACAAAAGTGAACACTGTTGATCCCAGTGGGTTTACTGAAGAGGGAGGACTGTGAACTTTTGGCTCTGGAGCTGGAGGTCAGCCGAGGGCCATCTTTATTTTGATCATCTAAAGAGGCGCGGAAAGCCTTCAGGGAACAAAAGCCACACAGAGGACCAGCTTATGGTGAGCCCAGCCCCCTTGCAAGGGGAGGTGCAACTCTGCATAGGCAAAAACACCTGAGAAGCAGCATAGCAGGCCCCTCCCTCAGTAGACCAATTGGAAGAACAGGTGCACAACTAGCTTATGGATCCCACAAAACTGTAATACTCCAGGGCTAGGGGAATATAGTATATAGAACTCGAGGTTTTTTTCTCATGATTCACTTATCTTTCAGTCCAAAATTTTTCTTTTCTTTTTTTTTCCCTTTTTCTTTTTTCAACTAGTTTCTTATTTTATCAATGATTTGTTTTTAAGTTGCTTTTTAACATTTATTTTTACATCTATATTTTTTAGATATATGTTTCATTTTGGCCTTTTTTCACTTTATTCAATTTTAACTTTGTATATATGTAAGTTTTGCTTTCTTTGCAATTTTGGGATTTAGAGTATTCTAACGCAGAGACCAAAATTCACTCAGGAACAAGTGGACCAGTGTGTTTTGTCCACCCTGTGAGATTATATTCTTTCCCCCCCTTTTTGTTGTTTTGTTTTATTTTGCTTATCTGTTTTGGTTTCTGACTGCTTCAGATTTGTCTAGTGTGTATTTTGCTTGGAATGTGGTTGATATTTTTGATTCGGTTCATGAGCTCATCCATTCTTCTCTGGGCAAGATCACTAAAAGGAGGAATTCACAACAAAAGAAAGAACAAGAAGTAATGTTCTCTGCCACAGATCCAATTGATATGGATATAAGTAAAAGGTCAGAGATGGAATTCAGGATAACAAGAATAAAGTTAATACCTGGGCTTGAAAAAAGCATAAAAGACAGTAGAGAATCTCTTAGTGAACAAATGAGATCTAATCAGGCTGAAATTTAAAATGCACTAACTGTGGGGTGCCTGGGTGGCTCAGTTGGTTAATCATCTGCTTTTGGCTCAGGTCATAATCCTGGAGTCCTGGGATTGAGCCCCACATCAGGCTCCCTGCTCAGCGGGAAGTCTGCTTCTCCCATTCCTTCTGCTCTCCCCCCAACTTGTGCTCATGCTCTCTCTCTCTCAAATAAAATGAATAAAGATCTTTTAAAAAATATGCACTGAGGGGCGCCTGGGTGGCTCAGATGGTTAAGCGTCTGCCTTCGGCTCAGGTCATGATCCCAATGTCCTGGGATCGAGTCCCGCATCAGGCTCCCTGCTCCTTGGGAGCCTGCTTCTCCCTCTGCCTCTCTCTCTCTGTCTCTCATTAATAAATAAATAAAAAATCTTAAAAAAAAATATGCACTGAGATGCAGTCTAAATTAGATACTCTAACAGCTAGGGTGAATGAAGCAGAAGAGAGAGTAAGTAAGACAGGCTTAAGAAAAGGAAGGAAGTTGAGGAAAATAAAGAAAAATAAGTAATAGCTCATGAGAAAAGGATTCAAGAAATTAATAATGCCATACCAATGTCAGAATTATTGGGGTGCCTGAGGGGGAAGAAAGAGAGAAAGAGCCAGAAGGTATATTTGAGCAAATAATGGCTGAGAACTTCCCTAATCTGGGAAAAGAAACAAGCATTCAAGTCAAAGAGGTAGAAAGGATGCCTCCCCAAATCAATAAAAATATATCAACACCCCAACATAGTAGTGAAGCTTACAAATTTTAAAGAAAGAGAAAATCCTGAAAGCAGCTTGAGACAAAAGTCTCCTCACCTACAGATGGAGGGACATCAGACTAACAGACCTGTCTACAGAAACCTGGTAAGCCAGAAAGGGCGGACATGATATATTCAGGGTACTAAATGAGAAAAATATGAAGCCAAGAATACATACACAGCAAGACTGTCATTCAGAATGGAAGGAGAGATAAAGAGCTTCCAGTACAGACAGAAACTGAAAGAATATGTGACCACTAAGCCAGCACTGCAAGAAATATTAAGGGGGATCCTGTAACCAAAGAAAGAGCCCAAGAGTAACATAGACCAGAGAGAAATAGAGAAAATTACAGAAAGAGGGACATTATAGGCAATATAATGGCACTAAATTCATATCTTCCAATAGTTACTCTGGATGTAAATGGGCTGAATACTCCCATCAAAAGGCACAGAGTAACAGATTGGATAAAAAAGCAAGACCCATCAATATGTTCTCTACAAGAGATTCATTTTACACCTAAAGACACCTCCAGACTGAAAGTGAGGGGGTGGAGAAAAATTTACCACACTAATGGACCTCAAGAGAAAGCAGAGGTAGCAATCCTCATATCAGAAATATTAGATTTTAAACCAAAGAATGCAGTGAGAGATGTAGAGGGACACTATATCATACTTAAAGGGTCTATCCAACAAGAAGATCTAACAATTGTAAATATTTATGCCCCCAACATGGGAGCAGCCAATTATATAAACCAATTAATAGCAAAAGTAAATAAACACATTGATAATAATACACAAATAGTAGGGGACTTCAACACCCAACTCACAGAAATGGACAGATCATTTAAGCAGAAGAACAACAAGGAAACAAGGGCTTTGAAAGACACACTGGACCAGATGGATGTCAAAGATATATACAGAACATTCCCTCTTTAAAAAACAGAATACTCATTCTTCTCGAGTGCACATGGAACTTCTCCAGAGTATATCACATACTGGGTCACAAATCAGGTCTCAACCAGTACCAAAAGATTGGGATTATTCCCTGCATATGTTCAGACCACAATGCTTTGAAACTTGAACTCAATCACAAGAGGAAATTTGGAAGGAACTGAAACACTTGGAGGTTAAAGAGCATCCTAATAAAGAATGAATAGGTCAACCAGAAAATTAAAGAAGAATTTTGGAAAATTCATGGAAACAAATGAAAATGAAAACACAAATGTTTAAAACCTTTGGGATGCAGCAAAGGCAGTCCTAAGAGGAAAGTATATAGCAATACAAGCCTTTCTCAAGAAACTAGAAAAGTCTCAAATACACAAGCTAATCTTACACCTAAAGGAGTGGGAGAAAGAACAGCAAATAAAGCCTAAACTGAACAGAAGAGAAATAATAAATATTACAGCAGAAATCAATTAAATAGAAACCAGAAGAACAGTAGAACAGATAAACTAGAAGCTGGTTTTTTGAAAGAATTAAGAAGATAGATAAACCTCTAGCCAGACTTCTCCAAAAGAAAATAGAAAGGACCCAAATTAATAAAATCATGAATGAAAGGGGAGAGATCATGACCAACACCAAGGAAATACAGACAATAATAAGAACATATTATGAGTAACTATATACCAACAAATTAGGCAATCTAGAAACTTATAAACTACCAAAACTGAAACAGGAAGAAATAAAAAACCTGAACAGATGCATAATCAGAAAGGAAATTGAAGCAGTATTCAAAAACGTCCCAAAAAACAAAACTCCAGGGCCAGATGGTTTCCCAGAGGAATTCTATCAAACATTTAAAGAAGAAATAATACCTATTCTACTGAACTTGTTTTAAAAAATAGA